ATGAGGAATCGGATATAGTACATACATTACAATATTCAGAACAGAGAAATAGCCAGAGGAATCTCCAACTTGATGATTTTGTTTTTACTTGCATATCTCTTACATGCAGTATAACAAAATAAAGCTATAGTGCTGTTCAGTACAATCAGCAAAATGCTAATACTGTATACATAAGGTGCACTGTACAAAAAAATTACATTGAAGATCTATAAACAAGATGTATGGAACTGTGCAAAAAACAGGTGGTAAGTCCAAGCCGCAGGTTGTAAGTTGTTAAGCAGGTAGGCTGTTAAATGAGGAGTATCTGTATATACACATTCAAATACACACAAGAAGGACCAGAAAAGATTCACCAAATAGCTTAGTCATGGGTGTGAAACAGTGGGTGAGTTTTTTCCTTTTCCTGTACTTTTCAAAATTTTCTCAATAAATGTGCATTACTTTTTAAAAATTTTTTATTCATTTTTATTCTATTTTATTTTTTCTGTATTTTAGGGAAGAGTCTACAGGGTGTTCAGGGTCTTACTACTAGATTGGACTCTAGTGATTCTCCTGTTTACAGCCTCCCAAATTCTGAGGTTACAGGCGCACACCACCACACCCAGTCCCATTGCCATCGCAGTGCTCCCTGTGGGTGGGGCCATCATGGCAGGCCTGGGGAGCTAACACCTGACCCCTGCACCTGCTGGCAGGTGCTTTAATCTGCTGAGCTATTTGGCTGGCCCTTACTTTTTTTTTTTATCATAAAAGAACACAGTACTGAGCTGTAAAAGGCTCAAGTCAACAACTTCTGACATTGCCAGTCCTATGGATAACCCACTACTATTATGGACCACTGAACTATAATGAATTATTTTGCTGAATTCACACATCTACAATATTTAAATGGCAATGGAATACCCATCTCTGACAAAACTAAACAAAAAAGGGGGATAAAATGAAGGGCCATTTTGTATCTGTATATACAAAATAGGATAGATATATAGCTATTTTCTCTTAATTCAATGAGAAGAAAGATTTGTTCTACTAGTGTTTGGACAGGATATCAGTACTCTGAATAACCACTATGAAGACAACAATATGTAATGTATTAATTATTGAAACTGTCCTACTAATTGGTTTTGAAACTGTCTCATTGCTATTTGTTTCTCAATAAAATTAATAATAAAGAGAAAGAACATAATAGCTGAGCATGATGGTACATGCCTATAATTCCAGCACTTGGGAGGCTGAGGCAGGAGAACTGCTGCAAGTTTGAAGCCAGCCTGGGTTACAAAGTGAGTTAGAGGCCAGCCTGAACTGGATTCTGTCTCAACAAGAGAAGAAGATTCTGTCTCAAAGAAGACCACAAACACGAACACACACACACACACACACACACACACACACACACACACACACAAAGAAGGCATAAATTCCATATTTATATTAAATATACAAAACAGCTAAATGTTGTTTGCTTTTTGGCCTTGTACGTGGTGTATGTGTAAATATACTTAGATGCCTGGCTGGTGCTAAAGAGCAACATCTTTCATTCCCTCATTTTAGGGAGAAAATTGAATTCCACAAGCAAATCAGCCCAGAACTTCTTTTCACTGGGCCTGGTGTTGAGCTGGAGTTTCCTTATCCCTCCTCCATTTATTCGTGTAGTTGTTTTATACCCTCTTTATGGAAATGGAAATAGAAGTAGAGATGAATTGACTACCCACTGATGCTCAGCCAGGAAGCTACAGAACTATGTTCCAGCCCTACTTTCTCACCTGCAGCCCATGAATTGGGAGGAGGAAAGGGTATTTGAAAAAGCAAAGCAAGGGGCTGGTGAGATAGCTCAGTGGTCTAAAGTACCTCCTTAGACAAGCTTAGGAAAGCCCAGGGACCCTGGTTCAATCCCTGGCACCACACGAGCCCAGCCCCTGTGGGCTATAACCTACTGCAGTGAGTTCTGGATGCACTTCCTGGAACCAATTGGGCCACATTTTTTCCCACCTGGGGTTTGTGGTCCTGAGGACAGATCCAGCCATCAGAGTCTCTGAGGGAACAGGTGACAAGTTGGAGTGTTGGGGCAGCAAGGGCAGGGCCTGCTCCCTTTCCTGAGGTGGGAAAGCCTGGCTGGGGAAGCCTTGAAGTTGCCAACCTTTGGGGGCGGGCTGCCATGTAAATCTCCTGCACATGGCCCCCTCAGCTCACCAGCACTTCAGACCAGTGGTGCATCACAGCAACTCCAGGTCCTGTGACCTGAGCCTTTTGTTCCAGTTGCTCCCTCTGCCTGAGAATCCTGTCCCTATCCCCATGTTCTCCCTCCAACTCTTCAGGGCCCAATTTATCATGTAAGTGTGCATTCTCACTAGTGAAGTCAACTTTCCTGAGTGTCCCTACATGCTTGTGAAATGCAGACTTAGCCCCAATCCTGCATGTATCTGTAGCACTTCCAGAGAGAGGCTCAGGGTCATTTGAGCATGAGTTCTGGAGCAACTGCCTGGTTAAGCCACCCTTAGCTGTGTGTACTGCGACAGTCACATAGCCTCTCTGTGCATTGGTTCTCAGCAGTGAAAGAGGATAATTGCACCTGGCTCATAGAAATTGTGCAGAGTGTAGATTCTTACAAAGCTCTTATAAAAGAATCTGCATGTCATGAATGCACCATGATCATTAGCCACGATTATCTTTATATGACCACCTGGCCCAGATTCCCTCCTCCAGTGTCCACGCTGCCCTTACCTACTGACTGCTGTCTTCTCTGCAGTTCCATAGCTCTTCAAGCAACTCTCAGCTAGAGCATCAGTGGCCATGCAATGCAGGAGCAGGGGCCCACTTAGTCCCTCCAACCCTGAGCACAAATGCTCCTTCAGAGTTTGGAGCTGGCCTGTGTCCTCAGCCACAGCCAGAGAGCCTCCTGACTGACCTCCCCCTGCTGCCTTCCTGCATCCCTGCTGGTTCCAGGCTTCCCTGATCCCTGGGCCCTCAGCCCCTGCATCCTTGGCAAGATTTTCCCAGGGGCAGCCACTGTGGAGCAGTTCTCTCTCTCTCTCTCTCTCTCTCTCTCTCTCTCTCTCTCTCTCTCTCTTTGTCTCTGTCTCTCTGTCTCTGTGTCTTTGTCTGTTTCTTTCTCTCTCTGTCTCTCTCTCTGTCTCTGTCTCTCTCTGTCTCTGCGTCTCTGTCTCTGTGTCTTTGCCTCTGTGTTTCTGCCTCTATCTCTGTCTGTCTGTCTGTCTGTCTGTCTGTCTGTCTGTCTCTCTCTCTCTCTCTCTCTCTCTCTCTCTCTGTCTCTCCTGGGCAGAGGCTTGCAGATGGCAGACTG